GTCAGCGCAGCACATACCATACTACGAAGGCACGTACACGCCACCGCCCCTGCCCTTTGGCCGTGGTGCTTCTGTTGCCCATCGTTCGGTACAACCGGTCCAGTACATCGACGATCGGCACTCGTATCCTCGGAAGTCTGATGTCTGGCGCACACCCGATCACCGGCCTCTATGCTTTCATTGCGGAGAAGCTGATCACTTGTACCGCCAGTGTCCTTATCGCCGTCTTGGGCTTCGCGGCTTCTCTGCGTACTCGCCGCCCCCCCGTTACGGTCAGAGACCACGCGACATCCAAAACTACCTCTCCCAGCAGCATGAACCACCGTCTGCCGGGCGCCAGTCGCGCTCGCCATCACCGAGGCGATTTCATCAATGCCCCAGCGGTATTCTACCGCACGATCTCCCAGCCCCCGCCGGGAAAACTAGCCGAAGCGACCTCTGGGGGCGGGGTCGCTGAACGTCGAAGCGCTGAAGACCTCCTATTGACGCAGAACCGTACAGAAACTGGTCCGACATCACCTGCTGCTGCAAAGGATAGCCGGCTTTCACTCGACATAGCAGTAACAATTGATGGTTGTGTAGTTAATGCGTTAGTGGACACCGGCGCAGACTATTCCATACTGAGCGGGAAACAGACAACGCAGCTGAAGAAAGTAATCACGCCGTGGCATAACTCGCGGATTCAGACAACTGGTGGCCATGTCGTAACTCCACTGGGTGCCTGCACAACTAGAGTACAGATTCAAGGGTACACATTCGTAGCAAGCTGCCTTGTTCTACGTGAATGCTCCCGTGACGTCATTCTGGGAGTTGATTTTCTACAGGAAAATGGAGCTATCATTGATCTGCAAGAGCGTCGCGTCACGTTCTCAACCCAGCGAGCAATCAACGTGCAGGATGACGGAATGCGTGTCGACGTACTCTGTATTTCTGAACAGAGCGTGACGCTTCCTCCCCGAGCCAGTGTTCTAGTCGACGTAACATGCTGTGGTTTGAGCGATGGCGATGTGGTGGCCGAGACAAATTTAGAACACCTCTTGCAGCAAGGCATATGTGTAGCGAGAAGTGTAATACACGTTCGCGACGGCCGATCTGAATTGCTCGTTACCAACTTTAGCAACGAGCATCGACACCTTTTCCGTGGCACTTCGATAGCGTTTGCCCACGAAGTAGCAAACGTAACCAACTGTCCCACGTCAGAAATAGTGGATAACGCAGACACATCAATGAGCAACATTGACATCAATCCTGATCTGTCCACCGATAACCAGACTGCGCTGCGAGCGCTCTTGTTCGAGTACAGGTCTTGCTTCGCAAGTTGCTCAAAGATCCCCCAGACGTCCATCACTCAGCACAGGATCATCACGTACGAGGACGCACGCCCAATACACCAGCACCCCTACCGCGTGTCGGCTAAAGAACGTTAAGCGATACGCGAGATGCTTGACGATGGCGTTATCGAACCATCCAACAGCCCGTGGTCATCTCCAGTCGTGCTTGTCAAAAAGAAGGACGGATCGCTACGCTTCTGCGTCGATTACCGAAAGCTCAACAAGGTGACCAAAAAGGATGTGTACCCGCTACCGCGTATCGACGATTCGCTGGATAGACTTCGTCGTGCCCGTTATTTCACTTCTCTCGATCTCAAAAGCGGGTACTGGCAAATCGAGGTAGGTCAGCGAGACCGCGAAAAGACAGCCTTCGTGACTCCAGACGGCCTATACCAATTTCGAGTACTCCCTTTCGGCTTGTGTTCAGCGCCGGCAACTTTCCAGCGAATGATGGACACTGCCCTCACAGGGCTCAAGTGGCAGACTTGTCTTGTCTACCTTGATGATGTGGTGGTCTTCTCTGCCACGTTCGAGCAGCACCTACAGCGCCTGCGCAGCATGCTGGAGGCTATCCGATCGGCGGACCTCACTCTAAAGCCACAGAAGTGCCACTTCGGCTATGAAGAACTGAAATTTCTTGGACATGTAGTTAGCGCTGAAGGAGTCCGGCCCGATCCAGACAAGCTTGCCGCTGTTGCCGAATTACCAGCTCCTGTCGATAAGAAAGCCGTCCAGCACTTCCTTGGTTTGTGCGCCTGCTATCGCCGGTTCATTCATGGCTTTTCACAGATAGCAGAACCTCTGACTCGTCTCACAAGAGACGACACGCCGTTTGTCTGGGAAAACGAGCAACAAGCAGCTTTTGATAAACTGCGACAGCGCATGCAATCAGCACCCGTTCTCGCTCATTTCGACGATGATGCTGACACGGAGGTCCATACTGACGCTAGTAACGTTGGGCTTGGTGCAGTGCTCGTTCAGCGTCAAGACGACATCGAAAGGGTGATAGCCTACGCCAGCCGCTCTCTATCCCGTGCCGAGGTGAATTATTCCACTACGGAGAAAGAGTGCCTCGCAGTCGTGTGAGCAATCACCAAGTTTCGCCCGTACCTTTATGGTCGTCCCTTCAAGGTAGTGACGGACCACCATGCCCTCTGCTGGTTGGCAAGCCTGCGCGACCCTTCAGGACGGCTAGCACGGTGAAGGTTGTGGCTGCAGGAATTTGACGTCACCATCGTCCATAAGTCCGGCCGTAAGCATGAAGACGCTGACACACTGTCACGCGCACCCCTTCATGTCGTCAGTCAGGAAGCAGAGGAAGACGAAGGCTTCCTGGGCGCCATTAGCTCATCAGACTTGAGTAAACTGCAGCGGGATGACGCAGAGATTTGTCCGATCATCGATCATTTAGAGGGCCAGGGCACAATCATACCACGTCATTTATCCCGCTCGTTGCCGTCGTTCTGCCTTCGAGAGGGTGTGCTGTACAAGAAGAACGCTCGTTCGAACAACCGTACCTACCTCCTGGTGGTTCCTCGAGACATGCGAGACGACGTCCTCTTCGCTTGTCATGACGAACCCACATCCGGTCATCTGGGCTACTCACGGACACTTGCCAGAGTGAGCGAGAGGTACTATTGGCCAGGACTTTCGGCAAGCGTCAAGAAGTACGTCAAGAGCTGTCGGGAATGTCAGCGTCGAAAGCAACCATCTGTTAAGCCAGCTGGTTTGCTTCAGCCCATTGAAGCACCCTGCACGCCGTTCGACCAAGTCGGCATGGACATTCTCGGGCCATTCCCCCTATCTGCGGACAGCAACAAATGGGTGATCGTTGCGACCGACTATCTCACACGCTACGCTGATACGCAGGCGATCCCACGAGCCACGGCTTCTGAGGTAGCACAATTTTTCATGCGCCACATCGTGTTACGACACGGTGCTCCTTCCAGTATAATAACGGACAGAGGGACGGCATTCACGGCGCAGCTTATGGACGAGGTTTTCAAACTGAGCAACACCAGACACCGAAAGACAACTGCGTACCACCCGCAAACCAACGGACTTACCGAGCGACTCAATAAGACCATCGCAGACATGATCTCAATGTACATCGACGTACAGCACAAAACATGGGACCGGATCTTACCTTACGTGACCTTCGCGTATAATACCGTCGTGCAAGAGATCACGCGATTCACGCCATTTCGGCTTCTCTACGGCCGCGAAGTGCAGACCATGCTGGACTCTATGCTACCGTGTCAAGACGAAGACGAGTTGGCAACTGATGCCGATGAATTCGCAGAGCGTGCTGAGGAAGCCCGGCAGCTCGCGCGACTACACATCGGCCAGCAACAGCAGGCAGACGCACGGCGCTATAACATCCGCCACAGTGAAGTATTTTACAACCCCGGAGACCAAGTTTGGGTGTGGACGCCCGTCCGCCGCCGTGGCCTTAGTGAAAAGTTACTGAGCCGGTACTTTGGCCCTTATAAAGTGTTACGTCGCGTCAGTGACGTGAACTACGAAGTGGTTCCGGACTCAACATCGCAGGCACGGAGTAGGACACGACCGAGGTCGGATGTCGTTCATGTGTTGCGCATGAAACCATTTATTGCGCGTTGTTCATAACTTTTTTCTTGCCGTACAGCGTTCTTTGTGTTATTTATTAATTTTTGTGAACTTGCTTCTTCGTTCACTGATTTTTCCTATATTGGCACGCTCGTTAATTTCTATTTTAACTTTATTCGAATTTCCAATTTCTTTTTTTCCACGTGCCTATGTCGTAACATCGTGGTGGTGCTATGTACTTTTCTTTCCCCCTTTTGGGACTTTTGTTTTCTTTTCGAAAGGGGGGATAATGCCACCCACACGTAGTGGGTCGACTGCAAGAGCGGCTCTACCATCTGGAGGGAAGAAAGAAGATTTGCGTGTCTCTTCTCGGCTCGAGAGCCAGCCACGACTGACGCATCGTCCTAGAGCTAGCTACCCGGTCGTTCAATATATCCCCCAGTACTTGTGACTCATCGTGACAATATTTGACTTTTTCACTGCTTATATGGTTCCAAGGGGGAAGAAGGAATTGGCAGTAAAGTTTTTTAGCATACTCTGTTTGTTTTGTTATTGAATAAAGTCAGCGACCTATCATTCGTTTAGGACCTGTAATCATTCGAGTGAGGTAAGAAGCTCGACAGCGTGCTGCATGAGCCCTGGATAATTGTGTCAGTTTAGTTAGAGTCCGATGTCAATAAAGTAGCAGCACTGTAGTTTGCAACTCTGCCTTCTTAAAAAGGTAACATTTTTTCCTGACATGATGACAAGTCAACCTTCAGGAAGTGTGTAGACGCTTACAGCAATGCTAATTTATTTTTTATTGATTGCGCTTGAATGTATAGAACGGGCTGACATTCGCCGTCACTGTAATGTTTTTCGTAAGTGATCTAGCCATTGTGCCTGCAATCTTAACTTGACAGACGAACCTTCCTTGTAGTGCAGGAAAACAGGTAGAAAAGTATTTTGATTGGCGTTTGTCCCCACCTATACAGTTCTGAAGTTCTCTTTAACTTGAGACTGAAGTTCTGCCGCAAGTCCTCCGACCTACATAGAGTTGTCACCACCTATCGCTTTCCTCAGATGCGTGTATAGTGACACCGCCAACACTCTTTGTCGCAGGGCCTACTTAGAAGGCGGACGTCCGCTGACTCTTCGAGAGGCGGCGACTACGGGCGTGGTTCAGCCACCACCGCTGACGCCTCTCCAGGGTGAGTCGCCAGCCCCCTGGTGCCCGGAGGACCCGGAAGGCGACCAAACCCGAGACCCGAGAATGCCGTGGCGCCCAGTGCCGGCGACGCCAACCAAGAAGACAGGTCTGCTGGCGTGCCGCGAGGTTGGGTCCCAGGCGACCCTCTGCCGACGAGCGAGGCGATGATGCGTCGACTCCCACGGCGACGACAGCCCCCGCTTCGCAATGGTCCGCGTAGACGGTCCCGCTGGAAGGCATCCGCTTCTCAAGAGGACGTAGACGCCGGCGTTGCCGAAAGTGGAAGCAACGCGGACTACCAGGCTCAGCTCGGATGAAGAGACGTCGAAAAGGTTGCTACGGACCAGCTGACACCTTCGCCTCTGCCAGCCGCCTGCTCAGTCCTCTCATTTAGGTAAGATATAGTGATGCTTAGAAAGGAATTCAACGTTGCGCTGCAGTACCTGGCAGAGTCTATTATCATATGTCACGTGGTCATAGCGGTTGTGTCACTGTAGCGAAATCTGATTGACAGTACTAAACGAAAGCATTCCAGCTGTACTCTCTCAGATCTTCATAAGTATGATGGCACGCATCTGTTCATCCCACTGGAGCATAGTGCAGACACACAGCACCTATTGGTAACTGGGACCACTTCCACGACTAGATGACAGCCGATACTCTACACTGGTCTCGTAGCACACATCTAAAGCACAAACTATAGAAAAAGAATTCTGCCTTAACGTCAGAATATGCCACAAAAAATGTCACACAAATCGACAGGGATTCCGTTTTCTGAGAGGCAGCCGTGCATAAACCAAAACAAGTAACAGCGAGAAAATAAGCTAAACAGTTTTTTTTCTTTAAAACGTAGTGTTATGGGCGCAAAAGGGACAAACTAAGGGAATGGCGCTTAATCTATCAAGAGTGCGGTATTTGTTTCGCTCATACAAATTATTCCGTGTGATCAATTTCCAGCTGAAGGCAAACAAAGTGTGCTAAACAAAACAACATAAAACTCGGAAATAAACATAACAGTATCGCAATAGCTTGAGGAGCATACAAAACATGCTATATACCAAGTACACGACTTTATATTTTAAATTATATGCACATGATACGCTTCTTATTCAGATGAATCATTGGAAATTGTATTTATGCATGCTGCTGGGCTATGGTACGCATGGCGAAATGAAAAAGTCAATTTTCATGGATGAACAATAAGAGAAAAAGAAATTCTGCCAGTTCTTCCTGCTGAATACAGATAGGTTGCTCTATAGAGCTACCTGTCTGTGTACAGTAAACCAGTTTTTCGTGCAGCACGCCACGAAGCACGTTCTTCAGTTTGCGTTAGCATCTACGGCTTCTGATATATGAACTGATTAATACACGATAATAGTTTTTTTTTGAGTCGCGTTCTGGGAAACATGCGGGCAAGTGTGACTGTGTTTTCACTTTAAAGAAGTCGTCGGTGGACTTGTGGTTGCTGTTTTTGAAGGCTTGAGGCGTTGGAATACAGAAAAAAAAAAGAAATGACAAAAGACGTGGGTACTGCAACGAACGCGTAACATCTAGCGTACTTTTGTGTAACAGTTAACAAAAGAGTTTGATTGAAGTGTTTATAGGTGAGTCAATGTAAAAGAAGAAAAACAAAATTTCCCCAGCCTACCAGTGTCCAATTATATCCAGGCTAAAGACCCTATAGCGCAGCTTAGGAAAGCAGAATCACGTCTGGTTGATCTCGTGTAGTTTTTCCCTTCGTGATTATCCGTCAATCTCGGTTTAACTAACGTATGATTGATTGTATGTATATTTTGATAATGGTCCAATGAGAAGAATGGGAGCAGAAAGAAGGATTGGAAAATTTACCAACTGAAAGAACCAGAAAGCTAGTGAAAACGCTTGGGGAATCAATAAGATGCTGTATTGCTTCTCGTCAGAATAAGTGAAGGGCAAGGCAACGTGAGGGTACTCATTCGCGCTGCCATTAAACCTTCCTGTTTAGATCAGATGGTACAATAACCACCCCGTGTAGGTGTTGGTCTCGCGTTTGAATCCCGGTACAGTATGAATGTTCTTGTGAAGCAGGAACCTTCAATTCAGAAAAAAATTACAGTCTTTCTTGCGCGTACACCTCTGTGCTACCAAGAGGTGTCGAAAGCAACCTTTCCCATTCAGGAACATTACCGCTCCTTGCAGACTTCTGCGGAACTAATAGTTTGAGAGGAAAGCATTACAGTCAGCATAACGAAAGTACGACGTGTTTGTCGTGGAATTACCACCCACGTTTTCTTGCGCAGCATACGCCTGCGATGCCGTTCCAACAGAGCTGTGGCTGCGCCTGTCAAGCCGTGCAACTTGCCATCTTTTAAGGCGAAAGTCTTTAATGGCTCATACTCGTGGTGTCCGTCCGTTTGCCTGTGCCCTGAAAAGGAGCCAGTTGTCGCTTCTCCCCGTCACACTCTCTCAGCAGTCACTGAGGGCAAAGTGGCGCAATGCAACAGTGTCGCTGCCACAGCAGTGACCTCACCCCTTGCACTGGCACAGTGGTGGCGTCCGACCGTCCGTCCGTCCCTGCCCTCCTTGCACTTTCTCAGCATTCGTGTGATGGCACAGCGGCGCGCTCGGCAGCGCATCTTCGTCAGACGTCTCGTTGCAGCAGTCTAGAGTCGGATGGCTTCCAAGCGGCCAGGTGATGATTCGACCGCCAGCTGTTCGGAGAGGCGCCCCAAGAATGTGGAGTCCCGTGATAGGAAACGCCAGAAGAAGAATAGACAAATGGGCATGCTGCAAGGTAATGTGTCTCACCTGGCACGAAGGCCAGGGAAGTGGAACGGAAGCGACACGGCGCGTGGCTTTCGCCGAACGCACTTTGCAATTTACGAAGTCTCCTTCAATATTTTTTGAGGACATATCGGCTACTTCCGGTACACACCCAGCCAATGAAGTTGTGCCTGTCTTGGAACTTGATCTTCAACCAACGTTAATTTTTTTATCACACGAGTGTCGTCATCGCAACGTGCCATTGCAGAGTGGGTTTGTCCTCTGACGCGCAGCCCAGTCAGTCGGTTTGTGAGAGTTACCAGCCGGCAAGTTCGAGTGCTTAGATATTTCGAATTCTGTCCCATTAAATGGGGATACATTGCCGTTGCTTCCCGCAAGAGGGTGCAATGCTTCTGCGGGAAAGTTTGGTTTAACCGCACTCAACCAGGGCAATTTTTTAGGGGCCAAGCTCCTCGAGGCCTGGACTGAGCATCCCATCCGAATCTTATGTAGCCACCTCTCGTTCGTTCTTGAACCGGCTGTAGAGGGCGGTACTTGTACATATAACGACATGTATATACGCTGAAAAATGCAAATGGCACGATACTAGAGAACGTCACTCGTAGTATGATAAATAATAAAAATCACAGCATGTCCATGGAGTGAATCATGATAAGTGGGGCGAAGCGTCCGTCAGTCCATTCGTGCTTCCGTTAGTTCGTTCGTTCATGCTTCCACCCATCCGCGCGTCCGTCCATTCGATCATCCGTCCATGCGTCCATCCGTCCGTCCATCCGTCCGTCCTTTTGTGCATCCACCCGCGCGTCCATATGTGCATTCGTTCGCCCGTCCATGCGTCCGTCCGTGCGTTCTTCTATGCGTCCGTTCATCTGCTCATCCGTGCGTTCGTTCAATCGTGCATCCATCTATCCGTCCGTCCATCTTTCCGTCCGTCCGTCCATCCATCCATCCATGCGTTCGTGCCTACGTTCATCCATGCGTCCATCCGTTCGTGCGTCCGTCCCTGCGTTCGTCGATCTATCCGTCCGTGCGTCAGACAGACAGACAGACAGACGGACGGACGGACGGACGGACGGACGGACGGACGGACGGGCGGGCGGGCGGACGGACGGACGGACGGGCGGACGGACGGACGGACGGACGGACGCGGCCAGCGGATGATTCATGGTTTTCCGATGGAACCCTCCGCAGCTTCGCCCTACTCATCATTCGCTACGTAGATATGCTGCTATTTTTTTTACGCGGGCTTGATTGTTCTACAGCTGCAGCCCTGAGTGTTTTAAGCAGCGCTACTGAAGGCCACGGTGGCACTTGCGAAACGTCCTATCTGAATTAACTGCAGACGTCACGTATGTCGTGTGTGTCAGTTTTGGCGGTCTTTTTCTATAGATGCGGCGTTTTTATTTATTTCATAAGCCACCGCCAATGCTACTGTTTTCCTATTTTTGAACTATAAAGTTCACATGAAGTAGTTCAAGCGTAGTTGGGCGCTCTTGAAATGCGTTAGTTTCTTTTCGCATCTGCATTGCTACTACGCCAGAATGCCGTGCCCTTTTTCAGTTACGAGGAATATTTTCAAAACTTCCTGGAAAGCGAAGCGCGTGTGTTGTTTGCCGAATGCTAAGCGTTAAGTGTAGATTTTGAAAGCACTGAAGTGGTGCTATTTATGTCGCGGGAAGGGTCAACACCCTCTCTCTCTGATAATGACGTCATTCGAAGGCTACCACATGCTGAGCAGGAATTAATGCCTCTAACTATGTCTGACTCGGTAAGGTCGTGATCGGTCTCCTTTTGACGTCTTAACTTGTGGAATCGGAAGACAAGAATGCACGTGCCGCGTCGCTTACACGTACGTTTCCCGTCATGTCGTTCTTTTCCTTTTTCTCGCGTCTTTGTAGCGTTCGAAGAGAAGCTAGGCCAAAGACAAAGCCACTATATCGCCACCTTAGTGGTGGTGCTGAGACTGTTTGTGCTGTGTATTTATGTAGGAAGCGCGCGGCGCTTGTCCTGGAAGCGGGGACACTACGGAGGACTTTGAATATCTATCTTGACGTGTCTGAGGTCGGTAGGTGACATGTATTGCGTTGCTTTATTTAGTTTCTTGTTGGCTACGACTGTGCGAAAGGTGTCTGGGCTTTTCTTCCGTGTAATTGTACAAGTTGTATATGACATGATATGTATTCACTATATCTGTAAATTTGCTAAAATTCCATGCGCAACACCGAATTCTTTTCAAGGCTATCTGCTAGAACAGCTTTATGAGTGATTTTTGTTGTATCTTAGTTGGTCGTATCTGAGTTGGTTATATCGAGTTTCGACTCTCATTTTCATACCGAAAGGGGGGTGACATAAGTATAGTGCGTAGTCTGCCGGTGCCTTCCGGTGGTTTCACTGAAATTGGGAGCGTGATATTGTCTTTAAACGCTGTACACTGAACGTCCGGGATGGCATCAGTGACCACTCCTGTGTACCATGACCTGGGAAAAATAAGAGGACTGTTTGTTTGGGTGCAGTTATCTCTATCTTAGCTGCATAAGCGGCTATTTACGGCACTCTGCAATGCCGGTTATTTTTTGAAGAATGTGTCTTCATCAGGGTTCTCCTTAAGGTGGGTGGTGGTGAAAATTCCGGCATCTGCTCCGCTTCACCGGCAGCTGCTTAAGATCAACGCCTACCACACTCGATAGATCGTCCAGCACTCCGATTGACAATTTTGAAAAGTGTACCATAGGAACCAATAAATAGCAACTTTGCTCGCGCAGAGCAAGCGTGCCTTGCCTACCGCCACCTAGTAATGTAAAAAGGCAGTCTTAACAAGTGGCACTGTGCTTTCAGAGATTTGCCAGCTCCTAGTGCCAGTGCCCTAGCTTCTGTTTTCTAAGTGCGCCATAGATGCCGCAACTGAAACATGGATTTCGCATTGAAAATGGGAAGACCGAGAACTTGAGGATAATGAAATTTCACGTCCCTTCCCTTAATCTTAAGCTTGTATTTACACCCTTCGAAATTTCTGGGGAAAACTTCTTCCCTGATGTGCTTGAGACTGCTGCCACAGAACCCTGGTCATTGTGATCAATTAATGATCTTGGTTTGGAATACTGTCAAATAAGTGTATGTGTGCGTTGGTTTCTGCGCCATGTGTGACGTCAAATTAATCCTCTTGTGGATGAGATCTTGTGCTTTGAGGGTCGGGATACTTTGCGTAGACAATTGCTTTCGGAAGGCAATCGCGCGAGCGCCGAAGAAGCGAGTGCGTTCAATGTACCACGTGTATATCTTTCCTGTGGCACCGCTTTCCCAGTTGTAGAGTTTCAGCAATTGAATGGACATTAGCAGGTGTTGTTTTGTGCTAACCAGTCTCGGGTTATATGACTATTCTGCAGTTCCGTCAAAGTAGAGGACATCAATGAGGCCACTCCGAACGTCGCTTATAATCGTAGTCCCTGCTTATACTGCTAGCTCTAACAGGTTATTCAGTTACGTACATGCTATTGTATGGCCCTACATGGTGCACGCATTTTTTTTACAGACATAATCGGAGCAAGCAGATCTGTCATACTGAGTCTGAGCGTTTTGCACTCGGTTTCGCTAAAGGTATTTTCGTTTCGTTCGCAAGTGTTCCTCATAGAAAGAATCAAGTGAATGGTGAGGAGAAGAATAAGACACCAATACTTGTAAATTAAGTTTTTCCGCTTTACTGTTCGTGAGAGAACAACACCTTATGAAACAGCAAGGGACTTTTTACGCTGTTTAATAACACGGAATGTGACACTGTGAGCCAGTCCCTCCAATTTCAAGATACGGCTATCAAATATTCACAATGTACGGGATGGCTCTGTCCTCACGAGATTATTAAAAAGCATTATGTATATTCGCTAACTCTAGGTTTGGATTCGTACATCATCTGAGAATAAAAGGAAGATGACTTTTTCGTTCGAGTAGTCTTATAGGCCGATGCATAAGAGACCCTGCGATTTTTTGTTCATCGAGCATGGATGCAGCGGAAGCGGCTGCATCTGGTGCCACAGTGTACTCATATTCACGTGCAATCTTTCGGTTTCGACAGTTCATCACCGCTATACTATACGTAGCTCTATACACGAGCTTCGGCATGCAGCATCGGCTTTCACATACTGAGGCTATATAAACAAAAGCGCAGCCACAATGAACGGTAGCTAGAGGTAGGAGTGTCGCGTTGATACTCGTCTTCCGGGACAGTCGACGCTGGCGACTCGGGTTGAGATGAGCGCACGCACCGGTGGCACGACGCGACTTAGCCGTCGTCGTCACCTAAGTAGCCTGGGAACCCGGAGGCCGAATGCGTGCCTCTATCGATCTCGTGGAAGAGGAGTACCGTTTCAAAGCCGGACGCGTGGAATACGACGGATTTGGTTCTCGAATCGTACCCACCGTCTCGTCGCCGACAAAGACCGGATGACCGTGTTTTGTGGCAGTGCGCGTATGGTTGCGTGAATGTTCCCACCTGACGGAGGATCAGTCTTGTCGCATGAGTCAGTCTGGTCTTACACATCGCCGGCGCCGGTTCACCAAACACTGTTTGATATTGACTCTTGGAGTCCCATCTGACGAAGCGGGCGAAGCCTCTGGATGTACTGTGGAATCTTGCCTGGTTGACAAGCGTGGTTTGGTAAAGTGAATTTCCATATTCGCGTATATCATATTGAACCGAGTATATCACATTGAGCGTATACTTGATCATTTAATAGCTTTCATCTGCCAGTTAGGCGTGGTGTGCTGCATGTGGTGTGACATTGGTATGCTGTACCGTGCAAGTGGCAACCGCTGTGGCCAGGTAATGGAAAATGGGACAGCAGCGAAAACGCCTTCCACAACAGGGGTTTTTCTCTGATCGCTCGTGGCTTCGATATCGGGGTTTCGATATTTTTGCGGCCTATCCCGAAGGGAACACTGGATTCTCTTTCTTTTTAAGCTGCGTGTCGCTGTCGGGACTATTTCAGCCCTGGTACAGAGGTTGGCAAAAAATGTGTGTGGTACACGATCGACAAGAAAAATGACGGACTTTCAAACTTACGGGTGCGAAAAGAGCCAGTGGTATCTAGTGTAAGCAAAATCGTATTGCTTTGTCTGAGTGGTGGTGGACGCCGTGATAACTCGGTATATTCCTGCGATTTCAAATAACAGACAAAATACACGAAGAAGAAGGCTCTAGACTGGTCTGCTGCTGTTCCCCCACCCCAATCATCGCCTTGCGCCCTCTGTCTGGACTTTGCGACAATATCAACGCAAAAATCTCTCTCCCCCCCCCCCCCCTAAAAAAGAGACAAACCTCTTAACGCGCACATTCAGATAACATTTTAAAGACTGGTCATCGAATCGAACCTGTTGTGTCTTTATTGTCAACGCAACCTCCTCGCCTCGCGAGCTACTATTTCGCCGGTGCACAACCTTGGAGGGTTTTAGTCAGACGGATCGTTTTGTTCGAGGAGCATACGATGATCTGTTAAGGAAATGCCATAAAAATTGACCTAAATTTCTGTCCCGTGTAACGAGACAGAAGTTTAGCCTTCAGCTGTGTAGACTTCATCAAACAGTATCACGAAACTTATAATATTAGGCATGTTGAAAATGTTGTGTCGTGCTGTTAAGTATTCTGTGATTCGACCACTGACCACTGACTCAACAATCCAAACTGCCTTCTCAGCCTGTGTATTTCTTTTTTTTATTTTCCTCACTATACTTACTGTTATCGTATAACGACCCAATGTAGAGGGTCCTTCACATCCGAGTTGAGCACATCAAAAGTATTCAACCTGGTGAAAGTAAGAAAACTAGAGCCTCTATTCTAATCCACTAGTGATCTGTCCTTTATATGACGTCTAATCCGTGTGTCTATAAACGCTGTAATAGTTTTTGGAATTGTGCCCTGAACATCAGATTTTATGATGTCTTGAATACTATTGTGTTGGGTTCATTTTAGATGTGAACGACCTCGTGCGTCTAGCGCATTTTGACGCGAAGTGGGGTTGATAGGGCACTAACGAACGCGGACAGAAGACGCAGAGCGCTCTTCCTTCCACCATTGTCCGTGTTTGACCCCTTTTACCTTGACCCCGTGGACCACTTTTGTGCCTCGAGATAAACACACATCCACTGTAGCCTATAAATTCCTTATGGTACATCTAGTAGGTTGTGCAGAAGATGAGTAGTAAAGGAGTGTAAATTTAAGGGGTTCTTTTCTATGTTAGACACAAAATAAGTGACAACCGAGACAGTAAGCCGAAAATGTATACGGGATGTTATTAGGAGTAGTTGTATTTGTGAAGTAAGATAAGTGAACGAAAAGGTAACAAGTCGCCAGCAGGGACTGAACCTTTGACCTTCTAATAGCGCGTCCGATGTTCTCGGACGCTTTATTCGAAGGTCGCAGGTTTGGTGCCTTTACAAGTTATCTCTAGGTTAGCGCAAGGTTATTTTTTTCGCCCACTTAATTTTTTTTTCACGTTACCTTTCTTGGTATTATTGTTTGTTGCTTCCCATTAATGTGGTGCCAAGCAAAAGAAGTGCGATCGTAAGCCACACCCGTACCCTGATTATTGTGGACAACCCGTGAATTCGAGCTTCGTCTCTCGGCTGACCAGGCGGCAAGAAGCAGCAGCGCAAGAACTCGGAAGACAACCATCGGCGGGGCAGCAGCAGCAGCGGTGAGCAGCATGGCGACGAGTCGCGCTACAAGCGGCTCGCCCAGGAGCTGCCGGGCTTCAACTGGCTAGAGCAGAAGATTATGGGCCACGGTGGCGGCAACTTCGCCGACGCGTCACCGCCCATATCTAAGCTCGTGACCCGAGAGGCGCCTGCGGTGATCGCTGCCCCTGCATCTGAGGTAAGGCGAGTGACACGCAAAGCGTGTACACCCAACGCTAGCGTTCACGACTGTACTGTGACAAGTGCTTCGCTGAATAGTGAACTAACGAGCCAAACAATGTAGGCTAGGGGCCCGTTGACCTACCGGGAAAATGTGGCCAGAGAAGCTTGACATGCACGCGGCTCACTTACTATAGCATTAATTGGAACTGACAGAGAAGAAAACCGACCCGCCGCGGTGGTCTAGTGGCCAAAGTACTCTGGTGCTGACCCGCAGGTCGCGGGTTCAAATCCCTGCTGTGGCGGCTGCATTTCCGATGGAAGCGGAAATGTTGTAGGCCCGTGTGCTCATATTTGGGTGCACGTTAAAGAACCCCAGGTGGTAGAAATTTCCGGAGCCCTCCACTGCGGCATCTCTCATAATCATATGGTGGTTTTGGGACGTTAAACCCCACATATCAATCAATCAATCAATCAGAGAAGAAAACCAAGAACAGTGTAAGGTTTTTTCTGCTAGTTCTAATTATTGAAGTGTCTTACAAAAAACAAATCACTGCCATATCCACAAAGTGAATAACCTAGGGTAGCTTGCCCGAAGGTGCACGGTGTGCTTCTTTGAGAGACCATTTCTGTAGGAAGGCTTGTCGACGAGTCGGCGCATGATGTGTTACGTCGAAGGCAGCGTTGTCGGGCACGTTCCGCGGCCGCCACTGAGCAGTGTTGGCCACGTCGATCGGCACGATAGCCGCCTGCCCCTTTGTGCCATACTGGTCACTTCCGCGAGTCAAACGCCTCAGCTTCATAAAATGGTGGACGTACAGTCGCAATCTTTTTGAGAGTGACCACGGCAGCGCGTCGCTTTCGGAGCTCCCAGCGCTGTTAATCGGGGTCAGCCAGAAGTATCGCTCGCGTGCAGTGCGGCCAGGTGGCCAAAATTCTGCCTTCGCGCGCATTGCGTCAGGCGAGCTAGAGCGTGTCGTCTGCTGCACGCGCACGGAAGTAGGGAAGCCGTGTGCCTCGAAGTGGCAACAATGTATGACTTCCCCTGACATTCCACTCGTTATGCAAGTGAACTTAAAAATATGTTATTGTTTCTGGCTGGCGTTTTCGGGGTCATCGTTGATCTTCAGTGGGCGCTTTCTCAGATCCACATTTCGTGTTCCAGCATACATTGCGCTGGTGCACATTGTAAAAGTATTGAACGAACGCATAAAAAATCGCTGGATCACAGTGCTCTTCAGCAAGCTTGAGAATTTGTGAAAATATGCGGCAATATACATGAATTCACATATTAGCGAAACCCTGTTTACGTGGCGGCTGCGAACAAACGCAAGGTTCACCAATAATGGCAGAATCTTCGAGGGCATCGTAACTTTGGGTCACTATTTTTGATACCTTCCAAAATGGTAGCAGTTCTTTCGTTTTTCAAAGGGGGACGCGGCAAAATGCAAGTGTAACATTAAGTGAAGCTATTTCGGATTGCTGACAGACCTTCAATAAATGAACCAGTCTTTCCTCAAACGGGCACCAAATAGCAGTTCGGGTGTTTGCGTTCCATCACCTATTCGTTGTACTACAAGAACGCAGAAAAACAGAAAAAAAAACGAAAACCAAGTGACACGGCAGTCATAAAGACAAGGCATTTGAACTTAAAGCACCCAAATTTTCGTTGCGATCAAAATAGGATCAGCAGGAAGGCCGAAAATCAGCTAGCAGACGGCAATCGAGCGTTGCGATGACCTTATGCGCGTGAAGTGAAGCTACCCCGCTTGCGCATGCGCTCAGATGCTGTGACGTGTCGTCTAATGGCACTACTAGTACTGACAGCCACGCGCACCCGTGGTCACTCTCTAAAAGATTGCTACTGTACTGCAGCTATCAGGCGTTCTTCGACGGGGTTGAAAGTGGACAGGTGAGGGGGCTTGAGAGGTTATCAATACCCGTGCGTAGTACTCATCGTAGTAACTTATAACGTGCTGCCGTCTTTACAGGAAGGAGGAGGGGGGATGATTCTTTAGGAAAAAAAAAAATGGTTCCAAATCTGCACGTTACACCGCAAATGTCGTCGAAAGACGATAGTCTTGCGGCTGGAGAGAGTTTACAAAACGTTTATTTGATGTTCTGCGCAAGAAAATTGGTGAATGGTATTCTGCAGGCGCTGCGTTATAGTGCTTCGAGCGTGTAGCGGAGGCGAACGAGCGCATCGAGGCATGTTAGACACAAGTGCCATCTGGCAGTTATCTTCAAAACCGAAGGCGTGCAGCCCGCGGAGAAAGATGCGCTCCCGTCTCGGAGGTGATAAGGTTTAGAACGCAAAGCGACGGGCAGGTGCCAACACCGTGACGTCGTAGCAAAGCGTTGGGAACACTTTTTTGAGCATCGTGTTGCACTGTCAGCGCAGCGTGATTAAACGCTACATTCCTTAGAGTTACTTGCGTGTGCCTCTTCTAGTATAAAGGCAGACATACAAAACATCGAAGCGTTGTTGTGGCGCCTCCGATATGCGCAATAATTGCTTCTTAAGTGACAATCGCACAACTATGAACGCTAAACCTTGAGCAATATTGGTGGGCGCTGCGGATGGGGTTGGCCGTTTGGTGCCGTTTGAGGTATCGTTAAGGCCGACAAACGAAAAAATGTACAGAAAGAAAGAAAGAAAGAAAGACCAAAATTTTTCCGTCGAAGGTCCCTAAGAAAGACTATCGTCTTAAAAAAAACGGAAAGGTAACCAAGTGGGGTCTGGAGAGCACGATAACTGTCTCTCATGTGAGGACACCTCAAAGCGACGAGAGTGAAGTGGACAGTGGTGAGGAGGCGACTGTGCGGGCCACCTAAAACCGATGCGTTGTAGGGAGCCTACGCGACCGCTCGAACGATGGACTGATGGATCTATCTGGCTGTGCCCTTTAGATCGGGTGGTGGCTCACGCCACCGTGCCATAACTTCAATTACTATCAATGTATGTTTAACGATTGAATTTCACTCGCGCCTCGATTGTAGCCACCAATCAGTTAGCCTCCTCCTGGTTATTTCTACCCGTTAAAATCTGTTTTGCCTTCACTGTCCCTAAACACCAATGCTTTGAAAAATTGGGCGCCAGTTTTTTACTATAACATGGAGCCCTTTACAGAACATTACGAAATGTTCAGCCGCTTCCTCCTCCTCTCCACACGCACTATATACCGTTTCTGTGCGTTCGTATTTTGCTCGGCACGTCTTGGTCCGCAATACTCCCGTTCTAGCCTTGAATAGCAGAGAACTACCCCGAGAATTATTGTAGATCTTTTCCCTTGTCATCCCCTGCTTAAAAGTTCGGTAGGTCTCCAGTGATGGTTTCGTAAGCATTCCCATCTTCCACATGTCCCTTATGGGGCGGCCTTGGGTGGCGGCGTGCCATCTAGTGAGCATTGTTGAATCACAGAAGAGGTGACCGAAGTGGTGACCTTGAGCGGCAGCCAAAGAAGTGTAGACTAGCGGACACTGGTGTACATGCCGGCAGCCGCCGGACAGAGCGCGAGCTTTAGGAGCAAACTCCTTGATATCATATCTGTGGGCTTTGCCGAAAAACGTACCTGCATGCTTAACTGCAAATGTTGCTGAAAGATGATAGCCTTATGCCAGCCAATGGCGTACCAACTTTTTCTCGAGAGGGGGGGGGGGGGGCACACCTAGCTCACTCGTCAGGCAGAATATATGTATATACATATATATAGGTGACACGACGCGCTTTCTTGGATAACACAAAGTTCAGTCACTTTAAGAAGCCGAGGAATGGGGACTCGCTCGCTGGATTTCGGGCCGACCGGTTGTGCCCTCGCGATCTCCGACAACAGCGCATCTCTGGCCGACTGGCTCGCCCTATGCCATCTCCTGACGCTGACAAGAGCTCTCACTGAGTGGTGCCCCGTCCTCGGACTCGTGCGACCGTGTCCATCTTTCCTATCTTCTCCTTACTTCCGTGTGTCACTGTCCCTGCGCCTCGCTCTCTCTTTCCGGTCTCTCCTTCTCTATACCATTTAATCTTATCCTTTTAATCCCTCCTTACTTCCACCCCTCGTGAGCTACAGTTGAGGTGTCCTTCCGTGGGAGACAGTTACGGGGCTCATTTTTCTCTTTTCATTTGAAAATCACTCCCCCTCCCCCCCAACCAACGAGGAATGGCGCCCTTTGCCCAGTTTCAGCGGCCAATATGCGACGCTGACCTTGATATCGCGCCGCTCTCTCTCTGATTATGTTTTCTACAGATACCACAATAGTTCGTTTAATAAATTTACCATGGGTGTTAGTCGCCGGGATGGAGATGTGCCAAGCGTCAACGAGGATGTATATATTCACCTTTTCAGTCGGTGTCAACATAGCAATAGCAGCATCACGTATTGCTTCTCAAGAAACTTCCGACTACTTCAATTATCACTTTCTAACGCTGAAGCAGAAAACTTGTCTCGTTAGTTGTGCCAGAGTAAATAAAAAAATCAGAGCATATCCACGGAATGAATGATGATTGGTGGGGCGAAGCGTCCGTCACTCCGTCCATGCTTCCGTCCGTCCATTCGTTCTTGCTTGCGTGAGTTCGAGCGTCCGTCTGTGTCCGTCCATCCCTGTGATCATCGGTGCGTCCGTCCATCCATACGTCCGTCCGTACGTCTATTCGTGCTGCCGTCCCCCTGTCTCTCCATCCGCCCGTTCGTCCGTTCGTCTGTGCGTCCGCCTCCTATGTCTGTCTGTCTGTCTGTCTGTCTGTCTGTCTGTCTGTCTGTCTGTCCGTCCATCAGTCCGTCAGTCCATCTGTATGTCCATCCCTCCGTCCGTATATCTAGTGAACACTCTAAGTACCACCATATCACATCTTTTTCATCATGTATTCGGATGGATGGATGGATGGATGGATGGATGGATGGATGGATGGATGGATATGGCTGTACCCTTTAGATCGGGCGGTGGCCAGCGCCACCAAGCCGTAATACCTAATGAACCAAAAACTATATTTATTTTTTTTTCCTTAAAAAGTGAGTTTGAGGA